GAAAAGTAGATCCAACCTTATCTAAGGTACCATAAAGGGTCACAGTATTGTTAAATTTAAGATCAGGATACCTGATCATTCCAACAGTCCTCATTAGGTAGGATTTTTTAATCCTTGGAGAAGTAATATTTTTGTTTTGGGGTTTTTGTTTTTGTTTTTTTAACATTCCTGTATTCATTTTTGGGGAGTTAAAAGTATGTCCAAACGTTTGAAAAAATAAATTTCAAAAATTCAGTCACAATTTGATGACATAAATTGAACTTGGGAGTCTGTAAGAAATTCCAAAAGGGTCATCTAAAGTCACTGATTGGCTTCCAACAGGATTTGCAACCCAGCCACCAAATGTCAGTAAGTACGCCTGACTGACATGAAGGTGAGGGGCCGCAACATTTCTCCTTGGTGTGACTGTCCTGTTCCAGAGTTGAGCCACCTTATAAGACTCTTCCTATGTCCTCACATCACACAGGGATCTCACCTGCTCTTGATATCTTTCTAATGTTAGGTCTCTGGAGAATAGCAGGGTGAACAGCCCCCTGCTTACAATTCCTTCTGCTATGTATAAAGACATTAAAACTCCCACCAACCCCTCAACCAGGCTTCTCCTCTGTATGTTAAGTAGTTTCCATTCCTTTAACCTTTCTACAAAGATCTATTCACCATCCTTTCATCATTGCCATGGATCACCTCTGCAGCCCTTCTAAAATCCCTACCCTTTCCTTGTTCTCCCCCTGGGGCCTGGAAAAGTCACTGTCCTGACTCTTTCATGGACTCTCTTTCATACATCCTGAATCATGTGAGGTTTTCAAGAACAGTACTTCATTGCTGACACAAGCATCAGTGTGAAAGGAGACGCACCAGACAACTCCACTTTACAGAAGATCTGAAAGAGAAAAAGGAGCAGGACCAGGACCAAGCTGGCATGCCGGTGTTTGAGCAGGACACAAAAGATATCTCAGGAGTCACTCTCCTCAATGAGAATTTGGACCCAGGGATGTTTGAGGCCTGTCGAGTACTTCCAACTCAGAGCAATTCCACTGGCGCAGGGTGTTGGCTTGTAAATGGCAATATCCAAATCAGAGAGGAAATGAGAGTGCATTCCAAGCAAAATGGCACACATTTAGACTGACTAAGAAAATAACAATAAAACTGCAAATTTATTCTGCATGTGTGATCATGATTATCATTACATCAAGTTCCATATATGCCCAGCCAGAATAAATATTAACCCATTTTATAAATGACTTTATACTGCATTTGTGGATACAGCTCCACCCAAACCCAAAACAACACTGTTTCCATAGTAACCAACAGATTTCAAAGAAGGAAAAAGGAGGGGAAGACTTCAGAACGGATAGCAATCAAATAAAATAGCCAGCATCAACAAAATATGTCAGCATTATTTAAAACACCCAGTTAGGACCATACTATAGTTTAATCTCTTTCCCAGAAAACCACCCCTTCTAAGTCACCTTCTTATAAAGCCAGTCCTCCCTCAAAGAAACAATTGCAAAATTGTTTCCATTTTAATTGAGGAAAGCAGCAAATTTCTTGAGTCATTCCTGGGATCCAAATGGGAGTATGATGAAGAAAATAACATCTATCAAGTGACTTAGCACACCCAGAAATTCATATTGATTACCAATTGGTGATTATGAAATCTTAGCTGGGCTTTGATGATCACATTAGAGTGTCTATTTTCTTGTTGAATGTAATGGGGGGGAAAGAGCAAAAGCCAAAATGGAACGCCAGGGAGCTAAAAACCGTAACAGCTGCAGACCACCCTCAACTGAAAGCCAGAATTTTCCCTGGAACTTTCTCAACTATCAGTTCCCCCCAGCGAATTTTGCACACAGATGATGTGCAGTAGCTCTCCACATCTCCACATCCCTGCAAGTTCTTTCGTCTTATGTCTATAGATAAAATTCAAAGCAACACCTACAGGCAGCATCTTGTCTGTAGAATAGAAATGCCTCATGTGGCGTAATCTATGAACTCTAAAAACTCACAGTCCTGGTGATCCCTCTTCTCTTGCTTTCTGACTGCCTCCTGATTTCAAAATATTGCAGATAAAATAAAATAAAATATTAAAATAAAATTAATAAAAATAAAAGTCATAAGACATAAAAAAGGAATTTTGAGTCTCTAGCTCCTACTGACCTTCAGAAAGAAGTTCTAAAGTAATTTATTAATGTGTTCTCTCTTATATTCTAGCTGTGTGACCATGGGTAAGTTATTTAACATCTTCTTAACTTTTGCGAGCCTGTTTCTTCATCTGTAAAACAGGAATAGTAAGAGCATCTACTGTATGGAGTTGTTATACAGATAAAATGAATTAACTTGTACAAAGAGCTTAGTGAAATACCTAATACACAGCAAAGAGAATTTTTACTATTACTTTTCTATTACTAATGTTACTATTACTGTTGTTATTCATAAGTAATTCGTAAGTAATTCTTCTTTCTTAAGACTTGAGTTAAAAAGTGATGGCTTTCCTTAGAAATAATGTTTGAGGCCTGGCGCAGTGACTCATGCCTTTAATCCCAGCACTTTGGGGGGCCGAGGAGGGTAGACTGCCTGAGCTCAGGAGTTCAAGACCAGCCTGGGCAACATGGTAAAACCCCATCTCTACCAAAATACAGAAAATTAGTTGGGCGTGGTGTGTGCGCCTGTAGTCCTAGCTGCTATCCGGGAGGCTGAGGCATGAGAATCGCTTGAACCTGGGAGGCAGAGGTTGCAATGAGCCAAGATTGCACCACTGCCCACTGCCCTCCAGCCTGGGCGATTGAGCGAGACTCTGATCTTAAAAAAAAAAGAAAGAAAGAAAACATTCAATATTGCAGAGAGAAATACTGCTGAACTGGGACATCTCACAATCTTCAACTATGCAGTGTATCAACTAGTCTTGAATGGCATAAGCTTCTGAAACAGATAGAACTGGATTTCAACGGTACTTGCAGCCATGTGGCCATGAGTCTGTCCCTTAACCTTCCTAAGCCTCAGCTTCCTCCCTCTACAATGGGAGCAGTTAAGAATGACCACCTAGGACTTGCAGCAAGGATCAAGTGGGAGAATCCCTATATAGCATTTCACAAAGAATCGGTTACATTAAATATTAAATACATGTTGACCATCATTATTCAATTTCTTTGCTTGGACAAAACATTGATTCAACAAGTATTTATTGCATCCTACTGCATGCTACATGGTTAAACTATTTATTGCATCTACTGCGTGCTAGATATGGTCTGTGATCTTATGAAGTGTACAGCCCAAAGGGGAAAAACTTACATTGAATAAACATACACAAATATACCTATTTAATTATATATATATAAATTATATATTATAATAAGCCTACCTTTATGTTTATTATACATTATAATAAGCATGCACAAAACTATAGTTAATTCTGTATGTAATTATAAACCTTGACAAGTGTAGTAAAGGAAAAGAACAGGGTGAAATAACCGAGGTTTGTCAATGGGAATAATAGAGGTCACACTTTTAAGATTTTTCTACTGTACCCAATATAACACCAAAATGGTATATCCCACAAATAATCAACTAGAGTACAATATTTTACATATATACCTTCTAGTCATGTCCACAAAGGATTTAAAACGACTGCAAGGCCTTCCTTTTAGACAAAACTATAACAACGTTCCATTCTTCTTTTCAGCTTAGATGGAAAACGGGCTAAGTTTATGTTGACAGCAGACATGCAAATTGAAATACTCAAGCGAAAGAAAAGAAAAAAAGATAGAATTGAGACAGCCCGCTCTGAAAGCCATACCTTCAACGACCCCACAGGTTTTGTTCCTGTGTTACATTATGAATCATCGATATCTTAAGAATCATAAAATCCTGGAATACGGCAGGAGCTTTACCACGTTCCCAGATGAATAAAATGATAACTCCATGTTCTGACGATTCAAGTGGTTCCATCTGATCAGACCAAGAAAGACTCAGCAGCGTAACACCAGGTGCCTCCCAGGTTGAAGATTTACCTGAATTTATTCTATAGCCCTACTGGGAGAGGTTTCCTGTACTTCCACCTACAGTTTGCCTAATAGTAGAAGACGTACATAAATGTAATTACATTTACATTTTATTATGAAGTCGGTGAGTCACTAAAAGTCCACGCTAGAAGGTACATTTTATAGTTTTTCATTATGTTTTGCGTGCTTCATTGCCTTTAGGGTCATATTTTTGTCGGGGGAGGAGTTATAAGTATGGAATACTTATTTTGCAGAGGACATGCCTTTTTGTCAGGGTGTTTGTTTCTACCTCCTCAGGACCACTCTCAACTGGATTATTTGAATTCCCCTTTTTAATTTCGGTCCATCATTCTTGGTAAGGAATAACGATTTAGACTTTCAAAAGGTACAGAACTGTTCATACCCAATATACACTCGATACAAACCATATAAAAATGACTGACCAAAATGTGCAAAATATTATGGGTGTGAGAGGATTCGGTGGAAGTTGTGAAAGTATGTAAAATCATACTTTTCCCTTTTTTTTCCTACGCTGCATTTTAAATTACGTTCTTCAAGTCATATTTTGGATGTTGGTTCCACTTGCTCTGATACATGCCATTTCAATCCAATGAAGTAAAGGATGCCTACCCTGAGAGAAGACCTCTTCTTATTCTGCCCAGCATTTGGGACTTTAAAACCAGCCCAGGATTCCAACAGGACGCCCAAGTCCAGAGAACAAAGAAAAGAGCATCTAAGCTCACCATTTTACTCCTAACGAGGCGTTTTGTTAATTTTAACTATTGTAGCCCATAAGAGAAATATGTGACCAGGTGCAGTGGCTCAGGCTTGTAATCCCAGCACTTTAGGAGGCTGAGGTGAGTGGATAACAAGGTCAGGAGTTTGAGACCAGCCTGGCAAACATAGTGAAAGTCCGTCTCTGCTAAAAATACAAAAATTAGCTGGGTGTGGTGCCACATGCCTGAAATCCCAGCTACTCGGGAGGCTAAGGTAGGAGAATCATTTGAACCCAGGAGGCAGAGGTTGCAGTAAGCCAAGATCGCATCACTGCACTCTAGCCTGGGTGACAGAGCTAGACTCCATCTCAAAAAAGAAAGAAGAAAGAGAAATATGTTAGAATAATGTATAGATGGACATGCAAGTTGGTTTTTCCCCCAAAGTAAGAAAAGAGAAGCCTAGTATACATATTAACCCCACTCATTCAAACTCCTCAAGATTTGTCTAGCTCTGCAGCTGCCATTTATGGCATGCTCCAACCACATGCAGGCATTGCAAGTCCTTATGATGACACAGTAAGAGGGATTTTTTTTAAATTTCAATTTCTCAGATGATGAACCAAGGCTTAGTATGGTAAAATAATTTATGAAAGGGCCAGACAGCTAAAGAATAACTGAGCTAAGATTTGAACCCATAGCCTGACACCAGAGCCTGTGCCTGTAACCTCCACACTCCGCTAGACAAACACTGGTCTCCATTTTAGATAACAGAATAACTTCAGGTACATAGCTCATTTAATCTCACAAGATCTCACTCTGGGGTATGCTATTATGTAACAGAGGAAGATGAAAAGAGATGCAACTGGGTGAAATAAGTTACCCTGGTACATACAGCTAGGAAATGGCAGAACTAGGATTTTAAATGAGACCCTGAATTGTGGGTCTGCAAACATTCTCCAATACTATGGTCCAATATACTCCCCTGAAATACACTCCACCTTTGGGCTGGTACATAGGATTCATGTGGAAAAAAAAGAAGCAACTAAGAGGAAGAAACAAAAATTTCCAACATTAGATCTTATTCAGAAGTGGCTCCTTCATGTCATATGTCTTTCCTGTAGGCATTGTCAAAATATGGTCCCAAAATGTTGTGTATCGCCTTCTCACAAGTAACAAAGTAGCATGGAAAACCACCTATAACCCAAGGACTTGTTCTGCAATGAAATGGCAGCCATAGATACAACTGATGTATAAATGCCCACCACCTCTCCCCCGCCATCACCTAATGAAAGAAAGACAACAAACGGAAACCAAATCAAATGTCCAACAGAAGGAAAATAGTTAACCAAATTAGTATGTAAGCCAGTGATCCTCAACTGGGAGTAAGAAGGGTGTTGATATTAGGAACTCTGTGGAAGCATTGTTGGTTGTCACAATAACCTGGGAGGCATCCTGCAAAATACATACCATGCAAGCTATGACACACACAAAAAGAACTGTAACATCTCAAATAGTGATGGTGTCCTCATGAAGAAAGACGGTAATCAATTACTATGCCCTGTCACCTGAAAGACACTGAACAGGCCGTGGCACAGACAGGCACCTAATAATATCTGTGCAACGACTAGATGATCTATTACACAATTCATAACAGATAATATGGCAATATGAAAATAGTTATGTTAGAAAAAGAAAACAGGATAAAAAGTTACAAGCACAAGATAACTGCAACTATGCATTTATTTAAATTATGCATCCAAAAAAGACTAGAAGGAAATACACTTAGATGTGTATTTTTATTGTTTCACAACAGCAAGAGGAGTAATGGCTCTTCCCTCTATGGCTCAAGTATGGTATAATTTATCATGAAACAGTAAAAAACCTAAATCACATTTAATTGGCTAAAAGAGGCCTAGAAAAGACGAGTTGAGTGCAACCACTCCTGAATAAATGTGATAGAGAAAAAAGAGCAAGAAGGTTTTTGGAGAAAGATTAATTATGACTGTCACTGGGGAATTTCTTTTTTCTTTTGAGATGGAGTCTCACTCTGTCGCCCAGGCTGGAGTGCAGTAGCATGATCTCGCCTCACTGCAACCTCCACCTCCCCAGTTCAAGTGATTCTCCTGCTTCAGCCTCCCAAGTAGCAGGGACTACAGGTGCATGCCACCACGTCCAGCTAATTTTTGTATTTTATTTTGAGATGGAGTCTCGCACTGTCACCCAGGCTGTTAGAACAGTGGCCTGATCTCGGCTCACTGCAATCTCTGCCTCCTGGGTTTAAGCAATTCTCCTGCCTCAGCCTCCCAAGTAGCTGGGATTATAGGCGTGTGCCACCATGCCCAGCTAATTTTTTTTGTATTTTTAGTAGAGGCAGGGTTTCACCATGTTGGCCAGGATGGTCTCCATCTCCTGACCTCATGATCCTCCTGCCTTGACCTCCCAAAGTGCTGAGATTACAGGTGTGAGCACTGCACCCAGCCATTTTTGTATCTTTAGTAGAGACAGGGTTTCACTATGTTGGCCAGAATGATTTCAATCTCTTGACCTCGTGACCCACCCGCCTCAGCCTCCCAAAGTGCTGGGATTACAGGCGTGAGCCATCATACCTGGCCTCACCTGGGTATTTCCAGACAGATTTCTGACCCTCACCTCCAAATTCCAAGTACCTTAGTTCAGGGGTCCCCAACCTCAGGCCACAGACTAGTGTCTGTGGCCTGTTAGAAGCCAGGCTGCACAGCAGGAGGTAAGGGAGGTGAAGGAGTGAAGCTTCATCTGTATTTACAGCCACTCCCCATGGCTCACATCACCGCCTGAGGTCCGCCTCCTGTCACATAAGCAGTGACATTAGATTCTCACAGGAGCGAAAACCCTATTGTGAACTGCACATGGGAGGGGTGTAGGTTGTTCACTCCTTATGAGAATCTAATGCCCAATGATCTATCACTGTCTCCCATCACTCCCAGATGGGACCATCTAGTTGCAAGAAAACAAGCTCAGGGTTCCCACTGATTCTACATTATGGTGAGTTGTATAATTATTTCATTCTATATTAAAGTGTAATAATAATAGAAATAAAGTATCCAATAAATGTAATGTGCTTGAATTATCCTGAAACCATCCCCTGCCCTGGTCTGTGGAAAAACTGTCTCCCATGAATCTGGTCCCTGGTGCCAACAAGGCTGGAGAACCACTGTTGTGGTTTACCGTCCCTGCCCACTGAAGCCTTTCTCATGGAGTTTCCCCCATCTCTGTTATACACACTGCCATCTGCTGTGTCAGGCAAGCTCAAGTCTGAAGTCATGATTCTCTCTTCTCCACTGTATGGCTCCCACCTGAAGGCAAACCCTACATCCTCCCAGCCTTCACTACAACTCCTATTCCATCTCACCTTCCCCTGCTTCCACTTCCAACATCATCCCCTAACCCAAAATCTTTCCTCTCTCCTGGAAGCTACCCCCACGCCATCCTACAATTTCCTACAATGTGCAAGGAACACCCAAGCATTTTTATTAAGGAGGCTAAGATGCTCAAACTCCATGATTAAAATGCTCAGTGGAAGTAGTAACTGTAATTTTTTAAAGAAGTAATAATAAGCACAGAAACTAAGTTTGTTCTCAAATATTCCTACCAAAATATACCTTCGTGGCAACTGGACGAAGGAAGATGGTGGTAAATGTCAACTCACGATGAAGGAAGGGTCTGGAGGCACAAATCAAAGGGGACCCTAGTAGGCAGGAAGTATCACTGTAAACATTTAAAATCTTGCATTATATGTCAGCCTAAATTTGGCCATTTAAAATGTAAAAATGGGCTGGGTGCAGTGGCTCATGCCTGTAATCTTGGCACTTTGGGAGGCTGAGGTGGGCAGATCACCTGAGGTCAGGAGTTCGAGACCAGCCTGGTCAACATGGTGAAATCCCACCTCTACTCAAAATACAAAAATTAGCTGGGTGTGGTGCTGCTCACCTGTAATCCCAGCTACTCAGGTGGCTGAGGCAGGAAAATCACTTGAACCCAGGAGGTAGAGGTTGCAGTGAGCAGAGATCCACCACTGTAGTCCAGCCTGGGAGACAGAATGAGACTCCATCTCAAAGATAAAAATAAAAAATAAAATGTAAAAATGATGTAGTTTCCTACTAAACTCTTCAAGGAAAAATAAAAATTCCTCTTCATGGAGATCCACCAGAATAAATTATTCTATGATTTGGGGATACCTTTACCACGTCAATGGGGTGCTAATGGTAGGCACATTCCGTTATGAAACGCATAGGTCTACATGACAAAGTAGAACCTCAAAAAGGCAGAGATTATCCGAAAGCATTCATCTGATAGTGGGTTAAGTGACTCTTCAACTAGATATGTCAGTAAGTGGTCCACATAATGGAAATGAGTAAAGGTGGTTTTCTCCCAATCGGGTTATAATCCATGAGGCAATCTTTATGGATGTGCTGCATTTATAGTGGATGAAAGGAATTAATTTAGAAAGAATTCTGTCTCATGCTCTCTTTTTAAAATATAAATTCATCCAGTTTTTTTTTTTTTTCAACTTGAACAATGGTTAAACCAAACTGATTTGAGCCATAACTTGGTTAACTATTTTCCTTCTGTTGGATATTTCTTCTGGTTTCCTTTTGTTCCTTTTGTTTCATTTGATGGTGGAGAGAAAGGTGGTGTGCAGTTACACATCAGTTACGTCTACGACTGCCATTTCATTGTAGAATGTGTTCTTGGGTTATGGACAAAATTTTATGCCACTTTGTTATTTGTGAGAAGGCTTTACACGCAATTTTAGGACAATATTTTGACAATTTTTAAGGAAAAGAGCTCTTGAAGATTCCTGATTTTAGAAACATGGCACTGACTGGTATGTGTTATAACAGTATTGCCGAAAGAAATATAAAGTTAGCCACATACATAGCTTAAAATTTTCTAGTGGTCACATTAAAAAGTTAAAAAGTTACAATCAATTTTAATGATACATTTTATGTAACCAAATATATCCAAAATCTTATCAATTCCATATGTAATCAATGTCTTTGAAATCCAGTGTGTATTTTACACTTAGCGCATCTCAATTTGGACTAGCCACAGCCACCCTCCACAGGCCTAGCGGCCACAGATACCTAATACAATGTATTCAAAAGTACAATTCAAAAAGATCATATTGCCAGGTCCTGTAGAAAAAAGAAACTTCCTAAAGACACTCTTACCTGGTTCTATTTTAGAAAATTCTATTTTTCTATTTTAGAAAACTATCAATGTTGCTGTAGTTTACTGTATTTATTTCTATATGCAACATGTTGCCCAGATTTAGATGGGAGGTCTAAGACATTTCCTTTTTTGTTGTTGTTTTTATTTGAGATGGAGTCTCGCTCCATTGCCAGGCTGCACTGCAGTACAGAGGCGTGATCTCAGTCACTGCAACCTCTGCCTCCCGGGTTCCAGTGATTCTCCAGCCTCAGCCTACTGAGTAGCTGGGACTACAGGTGCACACCACCATGCCCAGCTAATTTGTGTATTTTTAGTAGAGATGGGGTTCACCATGTTGGCCAGGATGGTCTTGATTTCATTGCCTTGTGATCCTCCCGCCTCAGCGTCCAGGTGTCGGGATTACAGGTGTGAGCCACTGCGCCTGGCCCCTAGGAATTTCTATATGTGCCCGTGGCTTTCACCTTCAAAACTATAATTACCTTCTTAAATTTTAGACAAAATCAGCATGCACTGATTTTTTTTTTTTTTTTTGAGATGGAGTCTTGCTCTGTTACCCAGACTAGAGTGCAATGGTGTGATCACAGCTCACTACAACCTCTGCCTCCCAATTTCAAGGGATTCTCCCACCTCAGCCTCTCAGGTAGCTGTGATTACAGGTACCTGCTGTCATGCCCAGCTAATTTTTCTTGTATTTTTGTAGAGACAGGGTTTCACCATGTTGGCCAGGCTGGTCTTGAACTCCGGACCTCAGGTGATCCACCCGCCTTGGACTCCCAAAGTGCTGGGATTACAGGCGTGAGCCACCACACCCAGCCGCATTGATGGTTTGTTCAATATGGTTCCTGTCCTTTGGTCTTATTTGCAGTTTAATAATAACTGGTTAGGTCTGTGACATTCCCTAGGAACCTTAAGCTTTAATAATCTGTTTCATTAAGAAATTACTCAACTGAAGGACATTGATTCACACTTATCTCATTCTCCCTCTTGCTCTTGGTAAGAGACACCTTTGGTTTTCAAAGACAAATGACGAAAGGTGAGGGCCTTTATGTATCAGCAGAGCCTTGAGCTACTGTTGCATATACAGCTTTCTTCTGCCTGGCTGGCTTCTGCCATCTTTCTTTCTGTAGCAATGAGTGTGCAATGACACAGCGCCCCCCGCCCAGAAGATCCAACAAAAACAGCACACAATGCTGCACTCCCCCCAACCCCCTAGAGAGTATAAAAGTTCAAGGTGCTGGAATTGTCCCAGTCTAGGCAGATCCTCAAATTCTGAACACTTAAATCCCTTCGCATTTCCATAGAATTCTTTCATCTCCATGTAGGGCTCTAATGAGCCCCCAGAAACTGTAAAACGCTCATCATCAAATGCAACTGAAGCATCATAAAATGAAAAGTCTGGGAATTATGTGTAGGTTGCCATGACTTAACTCATTATTTTCATTTCCTTAATAAAATATATCTCAAAATATCTCTCTATTCATATATTTATAGCATAAAGTAAAAATAAAAAAATTTTGCTTCAAATAATTACATAGGTAAGCTCCACCAAAGCAATTCTGAACTGTATAAAACCATACAACACAGAGTTAGCAAACATTTCTAACCCCTGATTTCTATTTCTCTTATGATGTTGAGCCTTGCATTCATAATGCTAGATTGAATATGAGTGCTATATCCAACTAAGGTAACCATGACACCTAAAAAATACACACAAGCAATGCACATGACTGAAATCCTGTCAGATTATTCAAGTGACATTGGAAAAGAATATTACAAGGTAATTTCTAATATTGAAGATTTGTATTCATACATAAAATACCAACTGAAATAGATCTTCAGAATGAAATTTCCTAAAATGATTAAAGTAAAATGTGAAACCTCACAGTTTATACAAGACAAGAAACATTTGGCTGCAAACCATTTTATAATTTTGCTAATTAAAAATTATCCCATTTTCACTTTGGATTCATCATATAACAGAAACAGGAATAACCTTACCATGCCAGAAACACAAGCAAATGGTTAAAGTTCTACTCTCAAATAATTTTTTAAAAGTTGGCAAAACATTCATTAGGCTACAGATCAAAACTGGTCTGTCCTTGACATCTCTTTAATGTCTTCCAGATTCCACATCTTCTTTTTCAATCACTCACTGAATCGCTCAAAAATTAAAATATGTTAAAATACCACCCATCTTGGACCTCTCGAAAAGTCCTCTGATAGTATACCACCTTCAGCCCCCTCCATGAGCAATGGATGCGTAATTCCATCATCTGACTTATGTAAAGCATTCATGATATTTCACAATGAGAAAAAAAATATTCCCAGAATCATGCCTTCATCAATAAATCTGCTACATGTGAAGAATATAAATAAATACTAAAAAGGGGCCACCATGAACTCTCTCTCGTGAAGTTTGCCAAGAAGAAATGGGTACAACTATGATTAAAAATAAAAATCATTTTCAAGCTTCCAAGGTGTTAACCAACAAAATATGCTTAAAAAAAGAAGAATGAGAGTGGCAAAGAGGTTGACTGATGAACAAGTATTTCTCTGCAAAGCTAATGAAGGCAATGTTTACAGCCTGCACTTATTTATTTATGCTTCTCTTCCCTGAGCCCTCCATGCGCCACGGGAGTCAGTATGCATTAATGGCACTGAAAACTAGAGAACCTTCCAACTGCAAGTTACAGTAGTCACTGTGTCAGTGGAAACAATGAATCACAGACATTCAACCTGGGATGAGTTGTGGCAGCACCTTACATGTGTCACCAATGTGTCGTGTGACATGGCTGTTGCCATGGTGAGGCACCATGTTCAGGAAATGTGTTAAGTCTCATAGAAGGCACCCAGCCATCCCTCAAGATACCCATGCCCAGTAACATTGTGATTGGCTTCCTCTCTGAGAATCTTGTTGAAAGGAGGGGGGAAGGAAAGTCACTTGGAGAAAGCTGAAAGAAAACGAAGTACACCATCCCCAATGCTGTGTGTGGGGGCTCTGGCACATTGAGAATAGCAGTATCTTTAATTCAAAATTAGCTTGAATAGTTTCAATAGAATAAAAGCAGACTATCCCAAAAGTTTGAGGGGAGATTTTTACGTGACTTGCACAATTTATATGCATTAAAACAAAGGATAGGACTGGATGCGGGAGCTCACACCTGTAATCCCAGCACTTTGGGAGGCCAAGGTGGGTGGATCACCTGAGGTCAGGAGTTCAAGACCAGTCTGATCAACATGGTGAAACACCCTCTCTACTAAAAATACGAAAATTAGCCAGACATGGTGGTGGGTGCCTGTATTCCCAGCTACTCGGGAGGCTGAGGCAGGAGAATCACTTGAACCTGGGAGGTGGAGGTTGCAGTGAGCTGCGATGACACCACTGCACTCCAGCCTGGGTAACAGAGCAAGACTCTGTCTCAAACAACAACAACAACAACAAAAACAGGAACAGACTCATGCTCATGAGGCTTAAATGATCTACTGCAACCAAATGATTGAGCTGAGTGTCTGGCACACAGCGTGCTGCTACCGCAGGGACAGAGTTACCATGATTACTTCTACACAGATACCTGGCTTGAAATGAAGAAAAGCCTATTCCAGTATACTAAAGTTTCAAGAGACAATTTATAATTCTTTATGCACCTGTTTCTCAGATTCGGAATTTAGGAAGAAGGTTAAGAATAGTCACAATGTTTCGTTTCCAAATGATGGCCATAGGTTCTGTCAAAAAGAAGTACCTTTAAGTGAATTATATATAAATGTGGACACATCAATAAAATATATCTCTATGACTATCAGTGCTGTGGGAAACAATCCAGATGGTCACAGCGCCCTCAAAATTGAAGCAAAAGAGGAACAGGTGAAGGAGCAAGAGATTTTTAGCCTGAAGCAGGCTCAAGAAGATCTGTTAACTTTCCTCAAATCTTTCATCGGTTGTCATGTAGAAGAGATGGGTTTTGTAGAATCCCAAGGTAACAAACCAGAGTAAGATTTCAGTCCAATGTAAGAAAGAACTTCCTAGGCCTACCAGTTGGCCGCACATATAATGGCCTTTCCCAAGGAGAGAAGTGCACCATCTCTCAGGTTGTTCAAAAGCAGTGTGGATTTGGATGTTCATGTAGCAGTAATTGGGCCTCAAAGACGGAGGCAGAAGGTATAAGGAAGACAGGCAATATGCTTCACTCTTTTTCTGAGCACAGAATGTCTAAGAGTCTTTGAATGTGTATGACATATACCATTACAATACATTGATAGATATACATACATATATACACAAAAAGTTCACATCCTAGAGAAATGAGGGCAAATTTGCTGTAATGATCACAAACCAAACATTTTGCTCAGGGCAACCTTAGGGGCTAACAGCTGGCCGTTTTTACAAAAATCTACTATGTGTTAACTCTTTTTTTAATTTGTTTTTTGTTTTTCTGAGACAGGGTCTCACTCTGTTGCCAGGCTAGAGTGCAGTGGCACCAACCATCTCAGCTCACTGCAACCTCCGCCTCCCGGGTTCAAGCAATTCTTCTGCCTCCGTCTCCCAAGTAGCTGGGACTACAGGTGCGCGGACCACATCTGGCTAATTTTTTTGTATTTTCAGTAGAGATGGGGTTTCATCATGTTGGCCAGGATGGTCTCAATCTCCTGACCTCATGATCCAGCTCCCTCGGCCTCCCAGGGTGCTAGGATTACAGGCGTGAGCCACCGTGCCCACCCGGTTAACTCTTTTCTAATGCTTTATGTGTGTTAACTCACTTAAATCCTACAATCACCTACGAGTTAGGTACTATTATTCTTTTAAACCTGAGGAAACTGAGGCACAGAAAGATGTGACTTACCCAAAATTATACTGTTATTAGGTGGCAGAACCAGGATTCAAACCCAAATTGTCTGGCCAACATTCTGTGTGCACAATCACTACATGTAGATGCTGATTACATATCAAAGGTTCTACAACTTAACCTTGGATCCTGAAATACATTTATTTTTCACTTAACAAAAAAGATAATTTACAACTCTTTCAGCACAATCCTACCTTTGTTGTATTCTCTCTCCCTACCTTTTTTATTACAACGGCTATTTACGTGAAATCATGATCATGATATTTGCATCTCAGGCAGTCATCTTTTCTGAATGTTTATTTCCCAACCACAAAAACGATACTTTGGTTCAAAAATTCTGACTTGGTGACAATCAGAAGCTTTTTCTTTTTCATATTCAAGTCAGTTTTATCATGATACTTGATAAAGAAATAGTCCTCTAGGGTATTCTTACCTGTCTTGAGAAACATCCGTCTCATTTCTACTTCTTAGTAGGGCTTCCACCATCCCGTACTCTAAGGATGCCTTAAGAGTAATGCCCACAAACCTCCTTCTCTGCACACCTTTTCTCTCTCGTGATGCTATTTTCTACCTAGGCCTCCATTTAAGGAAAATGCCCCACTCCACAAATTCCCTCTTCCCCATGTTTCCCCTGCCCTGATTTCCTCCACCTGTTTCTAACACAAACCAGCAAATCTCCCGCAAAGAGAGGAGGCAGGATTTGAGGCATCTTCCCTCCAGATTGTTCACATGCACATCTGGTCATTCTTGTCCTTCAGAGATTTCTTTAGGCACAATCAGCTGACATGCATATACCTCTTGCTCTCTACGGTTCCCTCATGATAAATTAAGGACCATTCAGAAGAAAAATTCCTACTTCGAATCCTTCAATACCACCTCTAATGACTTTGCTGCGCCCAGGTACCACGTACACAATAATCTTTATAGTTTCCCTAAGCCTCTCAAATTTGTATTAATGTTGTAATAAGCAATATCATCTGAGAAGCCAGACTTGATGTACTAAATCTATTTTCTGCTTCATATTTAATATATAACACATATTAAAAATAAAATGATACAAAACTCTTTTTTTTTAAGACAGAGTCTTGCTCTGTCGCCCAGGCTGGAGTACAGTGGCATGGTCTCGGCTCACGCAACCTCTGCCTCCCGGATTCAAGCAATTCTCCTGCCTCAGCCTTCCAAGGAACTGGGATTACAGGGCACGTGCCACCTCGCCTGGCTAATTTTTCTATGTTTAGTAGAGATGGGGTTTCACCATGTTGGCCAGGCTGGTCTCGAACTCCTAACCTCAGGTGATCTACCCACCTCAGCCTCCCAAAGTACCAGGATTAAAGGCGTGAGCCACTATACCTGGCCTAATAATACATAACTCTTAAATTTTTGTTTAATATATTCATTTCTGTCTTGTAGAAAATTTATCTTAAATTCCTCCACTAGTGAGATACACAACACATTTTAATAACACTGGTTACAAAGAGACTATAGTTCTTATGTCACTTTTCTTTTTTATTAGACCAAGGTCTGGCTCTGTCACCCAGGCTGGATGGAGCGCAGTGGCATGATCTCAGCTCACAGCAACCTCCACCTCCGGGATTCAAACTGTCTTCCCAGCTAAGCCTCCCAAGTAGCTGGGACTACAGGTGCAAGCCACCACATTCGGCTAATTTTTTTTAATCTTTTTTGTAGAGATGGGGTCTCACTATGTTGCCTAGGCTGATCTCAAACTCCTGAGCTCAAGCAATCTACCTGCCTTGGTCTCCCAAAGTGCTGGGATTACAGGTGTGAGCCACCACACCCAGCATTATGTCACTTTTCAAAGTCTACTTTTCTTCTCTGACTTGTCTTCCCTTTCACTTCACTCTTCACCCTGAACCTCACTATATATGTAAAATATAAACATATAAAACATATTATATGTTTGTTTTGAGACGGAGTCTCGGTTCACCATTCAGGCTGGAGTGCAGTGGCATAATCTCAGCTCACTGCAACCTCTGCCTCTTGGGTTCAAGCAATTCTCCTGTCTCAGCCTCCCTAGTAGCTGGGACAACAGCCGCGTGCCACCACACCCAGCTAATTTTTTTGTATTTTTAGTAAAGATGGGGTTTCACTGTGTTAGCCAGGATGGTCTTGATCTCCTGACCTCATGATCAGCCTGCCTCGACCTCCCAAACTGCTGGGATTACAGGCGTGAGCCCCCGCACCCGGCCTATTTTTGTCTTTTATTAAGCAAGGGAAGGGCCTCACTAAATTGCACTCTAAATCAATAAATAATTATGTAGAACAGCCTGTGTCAAGATAAGCATTAAATAAAAACTGATGACATTATTATTTCAGCAGAAACCGAAGAGCAAGTGAGCAAGCAGAAACACCAGACAGCAGGAACAAAGGGCTGGTCCTCGCCACTGCTTTGCAATCTTCTTCCAGACTGGGGCTTGGCAAACTACAGGCCCATGGGCCATATCCAACCTGCCGCCAGTGGGCTAACAATAGTTTTTACTCTTAAAGGGCTGGGGGGAAATGAAAATCCTACTACTTAGTGACACATGAAAAGCACGTGAAATTCTAATTTCAGTGTCTGTAAATAAATTGTACTGGAACACAGCCACACCCCTTTATTTACACGCCATCCATGGCTGCTTTTGCACTAGGAGGACAGAGGAGACAAAGGTAAGTAGTTGTAACAGACCAGGTGGCTTGCAAAGCCTAAAATGTTTCCTATCTGGCTCTCCACAGAAAAGATTAGCTGATCCCTCTTATAGAGAGAAATTAGACTGAGCCTCCCACCATCACACACATACATGAACTTTTTCTTTTAATTATAAAAGTTTTCCCAAAAACACAGTAGTGAAAAAAAAAAGCGAATATTTTTTGTAACCGGGGCACCAACTGGAAGCAGACACCCACCAATTGGCCTCATTTTCCACCAGACCGAGTTTTGGTTTCCCTGATTTCTCATGCAATTCTGCAGGAGATTAACCATCCTAAGAGTAAACTATCCTGATATGTTTTTAAAGCAGCAACATTATTAACAATTAAAAGGCTGCTACCACGCATACACGCTAACTTTCTGATATTTTAATATGCATATCCATAGGCTGATTATAACAGCGTGCAGAGATTGACAGGAAATGACTGAGTGTAATGGCTCCAAAGGAGACACTACATTGATCAGTAAATAATACACGTTCC